GATCGGAGGTCGAACCTAAGGTGCTTGATCCCATCGCTGTGTATTACCAGCGTCCTCTTGGACGGTTATGCAAATCTCTGGCTCGGCGATGTCTGGCAAGCCCCTCTGGACGCGATAAAAGCACCGATCGTCGGTCATTTTCGTCCTCCTGGAACGTCCGGGAGATCGCTAATCTACGAGTCAGGTAGATAGCGGCTGTCTTCTCTCGTATCGCAGCTTCTTAGGCCAAGCTCCTTGGCTGGTCGCCGCGCCGAGGGAGAAGAAGTGCCGCTCGTTAATTTCAGAGGCTAATACGAACGATTATCTCGCAATCGACGCGCCTGAATTCTAAGGAATCTCCCGTTTCAATTTTCGTTTTGCCTGAATCAACCAGGTTTACGATGCAAAGATTGCTTGCTACGATAGATGCCCATCTGTGAATTCACGACCAAAGTGGGTGACTGTAAAATTGTGCATCGTTTGTAAAGACAAAGCGTTGATTATCAAACTTAATCACTCGATTCTTTATATTCACTCGAATTTCTATAACAATATGGCGAATGAAATAATTAATGAAAACGAATTCCCAGTGCGCTATCCTTGAGGTTAGGATTACGATCAACCTGTGGCTGCGCCTTTGCACAGTATTGTTCCCTTCGATACGTGCACCCGCTTTATTTGAAACGCCTCCGTCGTTTCCAAGTTCTCGTCGACCCATAGCGGCTCTTGATCTCGCGTTATCTGTTTGCTCGAATCTCGGGATCGAGGTGTACGCGATGGACAAGCGAGTGGCTGCCAGCTCGGTCGCGGCAGCCAGCTTTAATTGGAGGTTCGGCAGCTCGGGTGAAAGAAACGCGGGACGTGCGCGGAGTGAAGATGCCACTCGTCGCGATTCCTCCTGATCAACGCTACCGGACACACGTCGCACGGACGCCCCGTTAGCTTTGTCACCGGCTGTCTATCCGCTGGCCCTCTTTTAATGTCCGCCACGGCGTCACCGAGATTCTGCTAATTGGACGGTATAAATTCGCTGCTGAGCGAGAAACGCTGCCGCCGATCGCGATGGACGCCGAGGTAACGAGAAGGCGAGCTGAAACCAGGAGCTTGGGACGTCGCAGACGTGAGGATTTTATAGCAGGTCCCGAGGAATCTATCGATAGATGGACAGGATTCCATCCTGAATTTTCTTGACGATTCCTTAACCGTTGAAAGTAGTGCTATCTTTTCGATAAGAAATAACGATAGCGCTTTGCACTTGGAATGCGAGCCAAATATTATCAGCCTTCTCAGCTTACTCCAAAAATTAGGAAAGTTACCAAAGCTAAGACAAAATTCGATGCATCGCAACTCGACGTCACCTAGATCGCACGCACCGATGTGTCCAGGCTTCAACTCTGCCATGAAAAGATCCAGTGGGTACCAAGTGTGAAAGAAAAAATGGTCCGCGGGAGAGTCGCAGAAGAAATCAATCCCTCTCTGAGAAGGAAGGGAAGAGGAGATCTCGTTGCGGCGATCGAGTTAACAGCGACCATCCACGTGGACGTCCGAGTCAATGGTCGTTAAATTTAATGGGCCCCCTCGTTAATCCCATATACCGACGGCTTCGCGTATGCAATAACAAATTACGCAAACGACTCGTCCGCTTCGGTAGGCTCTGTCCGAGCTGACACGCTTGTATTTTCATAATATTCGCCCCGAAACGTCGTCAATTAATGTCCTGTGTGCGGTCGCCTGGCCCGAAACTTGAGTGAGCCGACGAATTTTGACCGAAGGGGATTAATTTTGACGTTGGGTGAAGATAACGCTCGTAACCAATATATAGAGGGTGACTTGTTTATAATGAGCACCCTATACGCCTCCACTGTTATTAAAATTATGAAAGAACAAGCGAGGGAAGCGTGCACCAGTGGGCGTATGCGATGATAGGGAAGAGAATTACTTCTCCAAGGTCGTTTCAAGGTCGCCAATTATTCGGTGCTGCATACTATGGGGGCACCGTGCGGGATGAACGCGACGTCATCTTAGAATGTGTATTCCTTTTTTTTTTATTTTCGTTATTCTTGAAGCAAAACACGAATAACGTTAAACAAAGTTATGTAAAAGCAACCCAAAAACACGGTTACACCGCGAATGGTTAACGTACCCATCCTACACGGTTCACCCTGTAGAATTAAGAGGTGATCGTTTCGAATTACCAGCGCGCTATAAAGATGAATCGCGGCGATCGTCGCGCTGGACGTCGCGTATACCCGAGGTGATAATGTAAATAAGACGACCATGGCTTCTCGTGACCAATTTGCGACTCGGGCACGCGCATAATTTAATTGTTGCATTATGCGTCCTATAAAGATATTACTTACGAGCGATCGGCTCTTGACGAGACGCTGCTCGACGGAACACGACCGGCGCACCGCGATTAACCCAATTTTTTTTCTTCCCTTTCGCGTTTCGGCGCGTTCGACTCGGTTGCTCGATGCGATCTACGAACACGCGAGGCTCATAAAGACGCGAATAATATTCCTTTTTTTCGTGTTTCTTAATTGTTGCGCGTTAAACCACGCGGAACGTGTAATTAGCTCGGACGTATCGCATACGTGGCGGGGTATTAACCGTTGCCCCTTTAATTATCGTACGTTTGAAACTATGGGTGTCCGAGAGAAATCGATGGACGGTGATACACTCTACTTCCTTAAGTGGTAGCGGTTAGCAAGTATCGGTATCGGTACCACAATTAGTCTTTTTATGGATCCTAATGTACTTTCGACAGACTCCACTGGGTCCGTTCGCGGCGTTCCTCTATTTAGCACTTGTCAATCTAGGAATAAAACTGTAACACGTATTCCGCTCCTGAGATTTTTAATGTGCTCGGTGGCTCGTGTAATTGATCCACTGTTTTCCCTGGTTCGACCAACTTATTCAAACGTTCTGCTCCGGTGGCTGGCTTTACGTTTACGGTCTATGGTTTCCTGTTCGGATTTCTTTCTGTCATCGATCGTTTGGGTATGTAAAAACTGTTACTGGATGTCTCGTTTATGCAATAAAATGACGAACAGGTTGTTTCATGGCGGATGAGGCGTGTTGGGTCACCTTGTACATCCTGTTTACTTTAGATGACAGACAAATGCATTGGATCGACCTGCTCTGATTTTAAAGGTGACCGAGGTTAATTCTACAAAGATAATTGAAATTCTTCTCGAAAACAGCAAAGTTCCAAGTGTTCGTGTTTCAGGCACAACTCTCGAGAAGTTCTAGCAATCGTTTAGGAACAGTTACCGATTTCTTTTGTCGATAAAGAGTAGGTCCTTCCCCGAAGCAACGCCGTCGTCATAGTCGTCTCTGACAATTACTTAACCTCTGGCCCGCGAACGCGATTCCTAGACCGATTTCGCAGGAATCGGGCTGTCGATCGGCAATACGAGCGCTCAAGGTTAAAGGTCATCTAGTCGCTGGCTGTCACGAGGCGTCCGAAACACCTCGATTTCGTCACCGTCGATAATTTCGCCGCGGTGGATCGCAATGGCTGTCAGCTCGGTATCGAACATCGGATCGCGAGCGGTTCTACGATTTAAGGAGCGTCTTTCTCGAGTCGTGACGACTCGATCGGTTCGATTTCTCGACCTCTCTCCTTGCGACACAAGCTGAGAAAGCAAAAATATGACCGATCGCGTCACTTCCTTCTTACAATTAACATTGCCAACCGCACTTTTAAAATTTCATTTTTTATTTTTGGATACTATCCTCAACAATCGCGTCCCCATTAAAACCACGAAGAATTTTAGTAAATCTCCATCGTAAAAGTTTACTGCCCATTGTTCCGTAAGAGATTATTGTCTTAAAAGCGAAAATGCATATATAAAACAAACATTGCAGGAGAAATTAATATGTTAATATAATTAGAGGCTCTTCCTTGGTCGATTCTCAATGCATTATCATAGATCTACGAACATTTGAGCAAGAAAGACTTCTGGGAATATTGTTTAGGCGGCTTCACGCAAAACAATAACGAAAGGTTGAACACGCTCTCGTTTGCAACTTCGCTCCAAAATCAATGCCAACCTTTCCCATTGTGGAAATTACGATTTACCACGGTACTTGCATATTTGGATAATTAACGGGGCCAGATCTACACTATTTATTAAATTATTACGAGAACGTGTATTGTCAGAAGTGGACCGATAGGTCGTAGAACGCCGTGAGAATTAAAAAATAGAAAAAATCTAGATATCAAATTTAAAGTAACAAATACCTGTTTGGACTGTTTGCGAAAGCATCTTTCCATCCATAGAGCGCTGCGACTATAAAGGGCAAAGAGTACCTACGTTTCCCCGCGCTGAAGAAAGTTGCTCTCTTTTCTCCTCCGCGGTTCTTCCCCGTTCCATAGAGCAACCCTCGTTACGGGGCCAAGACTAGCCGTAATCAATTTCACAAATTGATTAATACGAGGTAAATGAATACCTGGGAATCGTTGCGGGCTTCTCGATGGCGCGAGCTGAGCAGAGCGGAGTGGATGAAGCGAGAGTGAGAGATGATTTATCCGGCGTGGGTCGAGGGCTGCTCGCCACGCGTAATTATCATACGACAGCCGATTAAAATTGCGGCCACGCTCGCGTTCAACATCAATTTCAGCTAATTACATGCATTTTCATGTCTATGGGCCGGGATCGACCAACGAGCGGGAAAAATCGACGCGTACGTGCCGGCTCGGGCCAGATCCATCCTACGAGCGTTAGTCGGTGCCTTACCGAATCGATCAGCGTTTCCCAACCCTGTCAGGAGAAGATCGATTCGACGCTGAACTCCTAGCTTCGTATTACCGCCCCCATAATTGAACAAGTGATCGTGGAAGCGACAGCCGACGACTTTTCTCGCGAAAACGTATCACAACTATCGACGTATTTTTTGAAAACCTTTACTTTGACAACGCAAAATTATAGGCAGTTTTGTTGTCTACATTATAGTATGGTATAAGCTGGATTCCATCAGGAACATATATTTGCAAACTGACCATAAATCTTACTCACCCAAACGCCGCAAACGTCAGATGTCCATCTCCAACGGGTAGCTGCTCCAGTTGTCTCCCAGTCTTCGACTCGAAACCGCGAAGCTTCTTCCGCAAGCTGTGTTTCGCCCTTATCCAGGGAACGCTGGAAGATATTCTCGGTGGGTTCGACCTTTGCTGCTTGACGCGCGAAACAGAGCAATCGTTTCCTTCGAAAGTCTCTATAAGACCAGAAGCAGGTTTCTCGGTGATTTTGCATTCGTGATCTATTTTCTTCTTGATCGCCTGTTCGCTTTTCATCTCGTTCTCCCTCAGGGGAATTGGTACAGTGTTTGTAATCTGCTGATTATTTGCTGTTGTGAGCCTCGTCTCACTTTTGGAAAACGCGTTCTTCAGAACTTTGTTATTCTGCTTGCCATCCTCTGCCCAATTTTCATCCCGATTGGTAACGCAGTTGCGATGCTTTTTCTTATCAGGAACCAAATCCAAGGCAGGTGTAGAAAAGATGTCTTTCTCCGAGTTTGAAACGGAAGACCTGGACAGCTCCAAGTGAGGCACTTGGAGTACATGCACCGATGAACTATGAAAGTCTTTGAAAGTTTTCCTTTCCAGGCTCTCCCACGACGTGTCGACGAGACTGGAGTCATGGTCGATGCTCTTCTCATCGGTGTCACCGTCCGTCTTTAATGATTTTTCGCTTCGAGTGGTAATTTTGTTCTTGTCCGACATAGACGTTCTGAAAGAGTTCCTTAGACTGATTTCGTGTAGACAGGCGGTGGTGTCCTCCAGCTCCGCGACTCGCTTCTGCAGGAAAGCTATTTGACGATCTCGCGATTTCAGCAGGAAGAGAGCTTTCTGCGCTCGTCCCTCTTCGTCCAAAGCGTTCCTGAAACGATAAAGATATGTGTTATGAATTTTCATTTCGATGTATATTTCGAAAAACTTGAATTCTTCAGGGTTGGCTACAACCAGTGCTAGCTTCACCACGAGTTACGAATACAGACTCGAATCCAACCCCTATACACTACCCTTTACCCTATCATGTTATCCTTTGAAGGAGAAACGCGACAGTCGCGATCTTGACGGCAGGTCCCCGAGGAAGTGTGGCGCGGTCAGGATTAAGCGTGAGCTTTTTACGGGAACAGCGTCAATTAATATCCTACGGGGCCATTATTAACGTCCGTGGAAAGCGTCTGCGATGCCGTGGCGGCGAGTTCTCGACGACTTAAAGCGCTTAAGGAAACCGAAATAAATTACGCCACGGAGAGAGGTGCATATTTAATTCGAGCAATTAATGCCGTCTTGTAAAACACGCCGTTGGGGTGGCTGTTGCTGTAGTCCTCCCTCTTTCCTGGCAGTAATGAGCTCGATAAATCAGCCGGCTCTGCACTCGAAAGTTCGCGGATAACTTCGGGCTCCTGCAGTTTCTTCCCGACTACCAAAAGTAGCGTTTCCAAGTTGCCTCCCCGATTGATAAATGCGAACGAAAAGTGTCCCGGACTCGAGCAACTGTTTCCTTTCCCGCTGCTCGATTGCCATCCCTTGAAACGCGCAACGATTCGTCAAATTCAGAATTTCGAGTTTGTCAGTGCTTGTAGTAGTTACTTGAACGACTAATATCCTTTTCAAGTTTTACACATCGACTTTGCAATACTCGGGGTAGCCTCGGCGATTTATCGCAGGCGTTTCTATAAAATCTAATTAAGAGGGGTGTAATTTCCTAATCGCGGACACAAATCATCGCATCGCCCCAGTTGAAAGACGGATATCGCGCGAATTTCGCCGTAATCCTTGTTGCCCGCCCTCGGATATCTGGCGATTAATTAGGCATAAAAATCTGGTCGTTTGCGGGAAAAAAATGCCGCAGATTGCCCCACTTAATCCCTCGAACAACCGCCTTCTGCGCTGGGGATGACGCCTCCTGACGTTCCGCTGGAAATTCATTAAAGCGATATCCCATTTATACCAAACGACCTCCCGCTCCAAAACGAATGAAAGAACAAATGCGTAATACGCTAATCTGCTCGGCGACGACCCTCCAAATTCTTTTTCTCTATTGTCTTCTCGAATCCACGCTTTAATGAGAGTCGTTAGGGTTGTCAAAACAGCAATGATAAAACATTTCCACATTTATTTCATCTTTGACAACTGTCTCAATTCTCTGCAGTCCAGATTTCATGATTTCTATATTGTCCTGTCAAGTCTGAATGGACATAGAAAGAGAAAAGGTTAATACTTACGACTCGTAACACCTGGGTTGATCGAGGATATATACTCTCTAGCATAAACGTAAGAATTCTTCGTCTCCTTGAAACTCGAATCGATCGCAACAAGTTTCCAAAACAGTCCCCCGCTACAAACTTCACTCGTATCAGGTCGAAATTACCCAAACAATGAGCCTCGCCTCACTGTGAGGCCTCATGTTTAAGCACGTATTATCCCTAGGACGACGAGAACGCGTTTGCCCTGACAAAAGGAAGCTGTTTCCGTCGGTACGAGCTCGTAATATGGCTTATTAAAATTACAGAGATGGTGGAAAGGGAATTTAGGTACGGGTCTCGACCGCATCCAGTCTAGGGACAAACCGCGACAGAGTCGAGACAGCTCGTGACCAAAGCAGAAGGGAGAGTTTGCGAGTCCATTCCACGGGGCTGCTTTATACCTGGATATCTCGACCACTGGGGATTGCTCACCGTGGACCTAACGTCGACCACGAGAAGACGACCTCACCGGCCACCGCGCCGTCCTGGATTAATGTTATTGCTCGAACCTCTCCGCCACCGAGGAGGACCGAACGACTGCCGTCAGTTTCGCCGTGACCTCTAACTGCGACCCCGAGGGTGTGATTTAATTGGCCCCGATTTTGACGCGCTCGCGAAACTGCGCCCGAATTTCAGCTTCTGACGTCTGCTAGGCGCGTGGTAATTGCGGAGGGGCTGACAACGGGCGGCCCAACTGCCGGGAATTGATAAAGGTAATGAAAATGGCAAAAGTAATCGCTTTGGCTCCTTATTATACGGTGGAAATTTAGAAGGGTTGCTACAAGAAATTTAGAATTTCGAAACCACCATCTGTCGCAATCTTAAACCCAGTACATTCGAAGAAAATTTAGCGACCTAACGCATTTCAAGTTTCCATTTGAATTGAAAGGCATCGTACGACATAACCCTGGAAACGTAATAACTTCCGCGTGAAACATTTCTCTCTATCCATAAGAACGGAGGAATTATTCAGACGGCCTTGCTTTAAGTGGTCGATCCCTGCGTAACAGCAATAAATTTTCCTATTTTACGGGAGACCTGCCCGGAACGAATAAATCACGCCGCCCGCCTAATCTATTTGTCCGTCGGACGAAGACGCTTTAACGAAACCGGTTCGTCGATTTTTCTAGCCGTTTAATTCGTTTCCTGGTTACGGTCCATAAAATGCGACGCAGACGTAAACGATTCCGTTTCGACGAAAGAAGTTGGAGAGGTTGGATCGCTGCAGCAATTCGAAGAAGAAAAATCGACGCCGCGACATCCGCGAGTACGATTGCCACGCTGGCGATATTAATTACGATAATTTCTTCCAGGATGATAAATGATCGACCGTGCTGGCGTCTATCAAACCGACCGCCATCCTCTTCTCGCGACAACGATCTTGGTCGCCCTGTAATTAAAGTCGGCTAATGAAGCCTCCGCGAGGCTGCATCAGTGGATGGACCATCGAAGCGTCTCTTCGACGTTAATGGGTGCTAGAGACCTTCTGGTTGGCAAACTTTTCAACGATTAGCTGTTCTTACTATGTGGTATTTGTAAATCAAGGCTTGTGTTTGCGACAACACATTTTTTTTTTTATGGATTCCTCCTGTTTGCAAAAGAGAGTTTAGAAGTTCGAAATTTCAGAGGTTGTTCCGTCAGGTCTCGTAGTTTCGGCTCGAGTATCGAGTTATTAACCAGGTTACCGTGGAAATAAATGAACTCATGCGCTGGACAGGGGTAGATTCGATTAAAATGTTGTTTCGTCGAAGGTTGTCGATGTTGGGGAGTCAAGCTTGCCATAGTTTAAATTGTGTACGTGTGCATAATCGTGTGCATTGAGAATGAGAGTTTAGCTGTTTATGCACCAGATGCTTAGAATATTAGTGCGCTGAGATAAGAAGTGTTAAGAGACTCTTTCAAATAATATTTTGCAAGAAACGCGTGCTTTCCTGTAAGTGGTTTCCACGTGTTTCCCCGTGGATTATGGGAAATTACGATGGGTTGTCCCATTTAATAATTGTTCTGGCACGCATAAAGATTTCAATTTATACTCGATTGGCATGAGTTTGACTCGACACGAGGAAGCAATCGTAAACGATCCCAATGTACTCCGACTTAAAAGGTAACTTTCTAATCGTTGAACGAGATAATCCAATTCACCATGGTTGTATGGTGGATAAGCGTGTTATTTATATTTGAATTATCTCAATTCCAGCATTAGGGTAACCACGCGCCAATACCAATGCGGCCGGTGCAATTACAATCGGTAAACAAACAACTCTCTCTGCGCTTAGCCTAAACCATCGGGACAACGCTAATTTACCGAAAAGCGTTTCGTTCCGCTAACTGAATCTACGATCGACGTGCTGCGCGATTAGCCATATACATAGTGACCTAGTAAAAGTAGCCTATTAAATCGTCCGTTTTATTTTCCTCGGATACAATACTTTGGATTCAGGTGAAGCCCAGAGAACCAATGGCGGAGATTAGACACATTTTGTCATTGACCAAGCCCCAAAAAACTCGAAGTGTATCACCTTGTACACAATTCTGGACATCTATTCGTTCCAAGCACATCTCATCTATCGGCTAGAGCTCGTCTTTGGTGAACAGTCTTCCTGCTGTCGGCGGCGCTGTGCAACGACTCGGTGTCGAAAGAAAAGCGTGTCGAAAAACGGGTCGTCCCATTATATGGTCGCCGTGACCGTCGGGCCCCGAGTCACCGATACAAGAACCACGGTCGTCGTGAATCGGCTAATCTCCCGATTCACACGAGGCAAGGACGTGGAACGGCCTCTTGAAAGGTGCAATGCTCACAGCGACAGCGACTATCCTTCTTGCCACCGCATTTACAATCGTTAGGCCAGTCGGTGCCGGGCCTCCTCGGAAATCGTTTAGCGTAATTACGCCTCTTGTCACGCCACACCTCCCTACCCTCGCCCGAGCCACAACGCCGCTCGACAAATGTAACCAGTTTATTCTCCGAGCAATTTTTTTCTTATTCATTTTGATACTCAGCCACTGGAACCGAGAGGTCCGGGTATATCAGAGTTGATGGATACCCGATGGATGACTCCCTGGCATTCCTGCGCGACGACGACATCAAGCGGCTCGACCGGATTGGGAGGATGAATCCTGTGCTCTCGGAACATCGTGAGCGCCTTTCATTCGGCACGGTATAACGCACCGGGCATAATCGCGCGTTAATTCCTCGACCCGTGGACAAAGAACGCGTCCGAGAGTAATACAAAGTCGCCGTTCCGCTACAACGATCCCGAGCAAGAAGCGTTTTCGCGTCGGTTATGCTTCGAGGGAGTTTTCTTTTTGCGAACAGCTCGAGCTGACATCCCGACCTCTCGCAGGGAGGCCACTGAATCGAGCGTAACGTTTCCGACAGCGGGAGATGCCAGGGTGGAGTTGTGGGACCATTTTGTTTATATATTATAAACAATTTGACACTTTTTTTATCATTTTAGACGTCTAGTGGACTAATTAATTACAGTTCAGTTTAGAAGGGATACGAACCCAGTGAACGGTCTGGGAAAAGGCTAGAGTGTCCTTCGAGGGGTTGTTAAGCGTTTTAAGATAGGATCGAAGGTAACAGAACAGGGCGAGACTTAGGATATCGCGCGACAGAATATAA